ACATTAGGCCCCAGCAACATGCTACTGTGTAAGGAAAAATAAACTGTTGCAGTTAAAAACAACAGAAAAAATCTTAAGAGTACCACCTCCAAGAAGTGCCCTTAAAGAGAACACTTATGCATCTTCGGACATATTAATGAGGCCAATATCCAGGGGCAGCAGAGGTATCAGATAGAAGTGTACATCTCCCTGACCCAGCAGTCTAAACATAAGCGATCCAGCACTGCTACACCAGCCATGCTGTGTCAAGGAGCTCCTTCTTTCTCGTTTAAGCCACTATACTTTGGTACCTCTCAACAAGAATATAGGTTAGGTTGCTGTAACAAATACAGCTCTGCCACTTTATAGCTGACCTATCTTAGACAAATTACTTAAACTCTGTATTATTTTATCTGTATCTACTTCACAGAGTTGTTGTCAGCAACATTAGACTATGTCTTTTTTGGGGGATGTGGGCTGGGGGTCTCATATCCCTGGCTTCTAGCACAGTACCTGAATATAGTAAGCATTCAATAAGTACTACGCTATTATTGCTGATCTTACTCATACGCCAGATCTAAACAAATAATGCCAGACCTTAACAACTCACCATTCAGTATTTCCAATAAAGATCTGATATAATACAAGTAATCAACATGGTGTGCATTAGAATGATCACTTTCTGACCCAAATCTTAGAAAACATGGTTTGACAAAAGATATTTTCTGACTTGTGAATTTACTTCTATGAAAACTCTTATATGCAGAACCACTGATCATCAAATTAATGAACTGACTTAACTTTTTTAAATAGATCCACTTGAATTGGGCAGTCCTGGAAAGTCAAAGGCACACTGCCCCAAGAGTACTGGTTCTGTCCCTGCCAGTTATTATTGCAAGCTAACACTGTTCATGCATATACTGCAGAAAAGCCTGATTTTTATAACACGTTTATGATTGTGAACTTGTAATAGTACAGAATCTCAAGAAGAATAATTCTTCTGTTTTCTCAAAGGAAGATGGGCCCCTTTTTTGCTTCTACAAAAATAGCATGGATGAGAGTTTTCGGGAAAACACATTTCTCTTATTGAAGAGCACTTAATAAACACACACCTGACTGCTTTCATTTCACCACAAGTGGTGCCCATTTGCCAGTCATCAAAGTAATTCAGTCTGCTCTGTTGAAGTGATGGATTCTACAAACTGTGTAAGGCTGTCATTAAGGAGAGGATAGATTATAGTCTCTATGCAGGACATTACAGTACTTACATTTCTCACCCACATAGCTTATGAAACACAGGGGAAACAAGAAGATGAAAATAAAGTTAAACATGGACTTAATGCCTTTCTCTCCCAATGAATGGAATGAGCTGGTCACTAGTCCACACTTTTTACTACTTATATATAAAGTTCCATTTCCTTCTATTTAATATAAAAAGCTTTGATAAAGGACACAGACTATGCACAAAATTCATTACACAGTAATTTAAGTCTAACTTGCTTTTGTGCCTCTACCTTTAAAATAATATTCTTTCTTTTTTCACCCTATTTATACAGCCATTTTGCTTCTCTATAACTTTAACTTACCTACTTAAAATTCTCATATAGAACAGAGATTATATCTAGAGTAAAATTCATTAATTTGGGTGAACTGAAAAAGACAAGCCTGAATGAATGAAAAGTCTAAAGTATGGACAGTTATCAAAAACAGCATGATAACAGCAACAGCTGACATTTGAGAGTTTATTACATGAAAATCACTGGGCTTTTTACCTTACATTATCTCATTTAGTCCTCAAAACAGTCCTGGAGCAGGTATTATCATACCATTTTTACAAATTGGAAAACAGACTTTAAGAGATGTTAACTTTCCTAGGGCCACACAGCTACTAAGTGGTAGAACTCCTTCCAAAGTTGCAGTTGTCTGACTCCAAAGCTCGTGCTCTTTACAACCACACCAAACTGCTAGGATTTTTTCTTCAATCAATAATAATAATAATAAAAGTAATATCTCAGAGGAGGGTAACAAAACTCTAAAGTGCCAAGGAACCCTGGTTTAGTAAAAAAAAAAAAAAAAAAAAAAAAAAAAAAAAAGGTATTTAAAATTAGCTCACCACTTATTTTAGGTAATATTTACCCGCCATGTATGAAGTAACTACTTCACACAAGGCATTTCTATACATTAAAACTGACCCTTACAACAACCTCCTAAAGTAGATAACTATCTCCATTTTACAGATGGAGGAAAATACTCAGTGAAGCTAAGGTCACATAGCTAGTAAGTGGCCTAGTCTTTGCACTATGCCACACTACTTCGTTATCTGTCTTATAAGGTCTTTCTCTAAAGTGCTGAAGAAGTCTGCTTTTTAAAGGAACAGTGCCGTCCCCTGCAATTTTATTTATACTATTTATTAGCTCAGCAAAGTTTTAGTTCAGAGACAATGCAAAGGTAAACTTTAACCCAGGCCTTGACCTCATTTTCATAAATTCCAAATTTAGTAAGGTCCATGTTAATGGGTTTTACTGTATATGGAAAAGAGTTTAATAGTCACTTAGCACTGCTCTATCCATTAATAAATCTAAAAAGCCACACAAAGGTGAAGGAAGAACAGTGACCTCAAAACTAAAACAGATAGAGAGCACCTATAATTTGTACTCCAGCAAAAAAAAGTCAGAATATAAAACTGCCAATACATAACAAATTCAGTCTTACAAGTTTAAATGCTCATTCATCAATTAAAGAAAACTAACTTCATCAGATGCTCATATTAAGGAATATAGCCATAGCAATTCAGCAATCATAATTAAAAGTTCATTTCAAATCTCTTTGGTGTGCAGTGAAATGATCTAACAGTGAGGCTGCCTGGTTCTTTTCACAGTGTTGTGTAAATGTGCACAGTATGTGGTCATTCCTAGCTATTGAACATGTTCATCTTTGCTACTCATGCTGCACTTGTTTCTGATGCAGATATGCTTCTGTGTACACACTGAGTGGGAAACATGTACAAGATAAGACAGTGAATAAAGCACATGTCTGCAGCACTGTTCCCACCACGCCTATAGCCAGTTCCATAATATACAGGGGATTTTTTTTTTCCCCTTGTAGGTCATCACCGTACTGAAAATATTCTAAATAAATCCTATAGGCTTCAGAGGCGGCCACCTGAAGCACTTAGAATCCCACAACTCTGTCAAGTTGCATCACGCTTTTTTTCTTTTCTTTTCTTTTCTTTAGACCAGCTTGTGAAAGAGCTGCCACATACCTCTCTGCAAGGGAAACAGCCTTGAGACATAAGCAAAGCAATCCAGGTAAAGGATAACCAACTATTCTTTAGCCTGATGCACTGTGGAATAGGTGGCAGAAGCAGATTTCAGGTCCCTTATAGTCTGGCCAGACTCTCAATAGGTCACCTACTTCCTGGTGACTGACAGCCAAGGCCTAAAGGGGGCCAGCTTGCCAAGGACTATCTTGAGGTTTGCAGTCTTGGTCACCCAGAGTGAACTAATCTCTCATAGCTATTCTCTATAAAGTATAAAAGAATAAACTTTCCATCTGTAATCCCAGCACTTTGGGAGGCCAAGGCAGGCAGATCACAAGGTCAGGAGATCAAAACCATCCTGGCCAACATGGTGAAAACCCGTCTCTACTAAAAATACAAAAATTAGCTGGGTGTGGTGGCACACACCTGTAGTCTCAGCTACTTGGGAGGCTGAGGCAGAGAATCGCTTGAACCCAGGAGGCAGAGGTTGCAGTGAGCCGAGATTGCACCACTGCAGTCCAGCCTGGCAAAAGAGCGAGACTTCGTCTCATAAAAATAAATAAATAAATAAATAAATAAAAACTTCCCTACTATATGAATGTAAATTTATCCAAATATCTGGGACTCCCATAATTTGCTAACCCCTTATCTGTGTTACCTGATTGGTTTGTCCACCAGGCTCAGCACAGTATTACGTTAGGATTCAGCCTTTCACTTTCACTTTCACTTCCAACTCCCTTGGCCACAGCATCATAATTGCTACCATTTCTTTTATAATCAATTTTGATTTCAAGTCACTGGAAAGCATTACTGAAAAATAATATGGAGTTTCACTCTCTGGACTATTCAATGTCATAGCAAGAAAAAAATCTTCCTGGGCGTGCTGGATAAACTGAGTACTCTCAGAATCCTTCCCAACCTATGAGTTCCTCATTATTAATCAAATACCTAGAAATACTACTTCTTGGAATCTATCTTACAGTAATAGCCACACAAGTTCACAAAAACAAAAACATTACCATGTTCACTACAGTGTTATTTGCAATAGCAAAAGCGTTAAGTGATCTAAATGGCCAACAGTTGAAGGATGATTAATTACGGACCATCCACACTCGAGAACACTGCACAGCCATTAAAAATAACATAGTATGCCTCTATTTACTGGCATGAAGCTATGTTCAGTGAAAAAAGGATAATGGACAAAATGTATAGAGTGATACCGTATTTGGAAAAAATACAACTGCGTATATACAGAAACATATGTGTACAAAGAGAAATTATATGAAAAAAATCTTAGAGATTTGTAAGTATAAACATGTAGTTATGTATATTTCTGCTGTGTGATATTCAAGTAAAAACATTTCTACTGCTGGGCACAGTGGCGTGCACCTGCAGTCCCAGTTACTGAGGAGGCTGAGTCAGGAGAATCGCTTGAGCCCAGGAGTTTGAAGCCATAGTGTGCGAAGACAGTGCCTGTGAATAACCACTGCACTCCAGCCTAGGCAACACAGCTAGACTCTACCTTTAAAAAAGGTTTCTATTATATACTTATATAAATATATATTTGCATATGCATAGAAAAATCAGAAAGGATATACATTAATAGTGGTCACTTCTGGACAGTGAGTTTGGAAAGACAGAACTTTAAGTTTTTACTTGTACATATATGTGCTGAGGTTTCTAAAGGATTCTGCAAAATTGACACCCCTTTCCTTTCCTAGGTTCTGAGCAAATAAAGAAATAATACAAAAATAAAAACAGATGAGGGACCAGAATATAACCTTTATTACTGATTGAAGCCAAGGTGGAGGAGGTAGCTTAGTCTGAAATCCAAAACACACATGGCTAAGCTATAGAATTATATCATCTTGGGGCTGGGCATGGTGGCTCATGCCTGTAATCCCAGCAATTTGGGAGGCAGAAGTGAGTGGATCACTTGAGATCATGAGTTCAAGACCAGCCTGACCAACAGGTGAAACCCCGTCTCTACTAAAAATACGAAAATTAGCCAGGCATGGTGGTGCACACCCATAATCCCTGCTATTCCGAAGGCAGAGGCACAGATCACTTGAACCGAAGAGGCAGAGGTTGTAGTGAGCCGAGATTGCGCCACTGCACTCCAGCCTGGGCAACAGAATGAGACTACCTAAAAAATAATAATAATAATTATATCATCTTGGCAGGCCAGGACAGCAAAAGCTGGGGTGAGCCCCCAGCCTTTGGGAAAATGTGTGCTCTTGGTAGGCAGGCCCTTCTCCAGATAGAACGAGCATGGCAGTAAGCTGAGGTAGCCCACTTATTCAACCCATATTTACCAATTAGGTAAGCCACTCCCCTATAGAGTAGAGTGAGAAAGAGGGTCTGTCAAGTAGGAGTATTGTCTTTGTCTGAGAAGGTAGTTTCAGCACATCTGGGGTGGCTGAATCCAGACTGCAAAGGGTTAAAGAGTGAATGGTGAAAAGGCAGAGACTACAGAGTAGACAAGTCGAGAAGAATTGAAAGAAAGGAGGCTGGGAGCAGGGAATTTTAAAAATGATTTTTTTAAAGGAGGAGGCCAACAAAATGTCAAAGGCAGAAAATGGAAGAGAGAAAATAATTTACAGGGAGAGTCTAAACATAGTGATGGAATCATGGACATTAAGTGAATGTGGCCACCTCTTAATGAGACATGAACAAAAGGGAAGGAAGAGAAGTTGAGTTCTTATCACAGGACCAATTCTGTAAAAAGAAGGATAGATCCAAAGCTAAATCCAGAAAACAAAAAATAAACTTGCAGACTGCCAAAGAGCTGGCTGTGCTACAGTCATGACAAAACTCGGCAGAACCAAGACCTACTTGTAAATGTTTTATCAAACTGGGAAAATTACAAGAAATATGTGATTTATTATTTCTAAGACTGCTTAGATTAGTATTGATATGTACATACTCTCCATATTATCCAAAATCATGCTCCATAACATCAGTTGATTTACATGCTCCTTTGTCCCTGGGAGCCCTAAGGAATAAAGTTTTTCATAACAAACTTTGAGTGATTTAAGCTTGACTGGCTCTGTGCAATTTTTCATTGCAATTCTGGCTACCATTCTACCATATGCCCCAAATCACAATGCAGTATAAAGTAAAATCAAACAGACCAAGTATTGGTGGGAAGATTCCTAGTCTACAAGTCTGGCTCCATACTTCTAACTGATAGAGACTGAAATGTCTGCACTGGAAATGTTTCTGTATTTCCACTGATCTATTTTCATGCCATGGTTTCAACGGCTTCAGAAGTTCCAGTAAGAAAAGGCTTCTTCTGGTAAACAGATTCCTCTGAGTTAAAAATAATAATAATAATAATAATAAGAGGGAAAAAGCTTCGTATTTTTCAACAGTCCCCAAAGTTATATTCTTTATCAGGTTTTAAGGTTATGTTCCAAGTCTCCATTCTTCGGTGTGGTTTAGCTTTACAACCAGCTGCCCCCTCTTCACTAGCAGTTTTTGACGTCATCCAGGCTTTGCAAAATGTGTGCTACAGCCCCTACTCAGGCTTCTCAGCTGCTATGAAAGTTATACTGCATTTGGTTAAGTGTGGAGGCTGGCACCAGGGAGGATCCATGATGGTGATTATCATGCAAATCAGTCTCCTGCAAGTCAAGCTCCTCCGCGGAGGCCTTCCAGCTCTGCTTCCCCCAGGGCCGCTCCATTGTCCCCAGCATAAAGCTAACCATCTTGGCTGCCGACACTGGACGCCGCTGAGATTGGTTCTCCTGACAGAGATTAGTGGGCAGCAATGAATCTTTCACTTGGGGTAGATATATGATTTTATTTAAGAAAATAACCATACATAATTGGGCTTCTGTCACTTTAAATTTTAATGGTGAGAGTAATATGGAGGCTTCTGGAACTTTAAATTATGGCTTTCAGAAGCTTCACACTGAATCTTTCAATTATTCTCTGTAAGTACTTTCTCAAAGCATGTGCCACCATGACATTGATATCACAATTCAAATCTAAATTCAAAACTGACTGCAAGGCTATGAGCTATGTGCTGGCGTGCATGCTGCCTCATTTTATCTTTGAACATCTGACGAGGCGAATCAAGAGGCGCTCTCCCGGAGCCCAGCCAGCTGTTTGCCAAATATTCAAATGCTCTGACATGCAGAAGAGCCTTTCAGATTTCCCCACATCAAAATTAGCAACGACCCCCTATTTTTCCCATTAGCTTCTGGCTCACCTACATCCTTTCACGCAGGCCCGCCTGACTCACTCAGCTAAGTGCTTGCTCTTGCTCACCTCTCGGGTTCCCGACTCCAGCAATTGGATCTGGTGTGTGCTGCAGAATGGCAGCCAGTTCAGACAAAACCATGGGGGAGAGTTTTCAAGTCGGTGTTTCCTTGAAGTGGATCTGAAAGAGTGGCTGAGCTGATATTTGCAGTAGTAGGAAGGCAGAGAGCAAAGACAGCATGCAGGTTTTACTTACAATACATTCATTAGGCTGGAGCAAAAAATGGAATTGGAAAGACAGTAGCCAGGGGAAAGTAAAAAGGCTTTGCTTTTCCTTTTATTTTGGTGTCAACTTCCTTGTTATATATCCATTTTATCATTTTTAATATTTGTATCTTCATATTAAAACAAATGGAAAGGAATCTTTTTCTCTATAGGTCTAGCTTTAGACTGCTTCAACTATTTTTAAACGTGTCCCCTACCTCAGTAAACGCAGCACCACATTTACAACTGTAAATAATTAATCCAGTTGCCCTTTGGTTAATCTACAATGGAAGACAACCCTTCTTTCACATTTCAAAAGTCCTGGAACAATTTTCCTCAGCTGGATGACTTAGAACAGAGGCTGTGGACAGCACCTGGGGAGTTTAGAATGGGAAAGGGACTAAGGTGCCAAGTGGTCAAGACAACAGCCCCTACCCCAGCGGCTGGCAAAATTTCCTGAAGCTGGACATCAAAACCCGGGCCAGCTGGGTGAGGGGTTCCTTCATTCCTTCCGGAAAAGCTGGGTCTTTACTTGTTCATTTCCTATGATGTGTTTATACTTGGACAGAAGGGGCACAGCAGGAATGCTTTCAGGGCACATTTAGGGGGAAGCCACTCTCACAGGAATTGTGAATGCCAGATGTCAAACAAACCTGTGCTGCTGAGAATTCTCTGAGCAGGATGCAAGGGGCACCACATCACATCTGAGAAAACTCTGCTGTCCTGATCCGGGGCCTCTCCTTAGCTGCAGGCAAAGGCAGGTAGAAATCCTTTCATTTTAATAATAATAATAAAAAAGAAGCTGCTAGTGTGAGCATAAAATTACCTAACAACTAGATGGGCTGATGGCATTCCAGTTCTGCCAGTAAAGTCTATTAATTCTCTCAATTCAAATCAGCATAAGGCAAGTAACTTGCCTCTGGGAACCATAGGTGGCAGAGGCAGGAGGCCCACACGTGGAGTGGCCATAAAACAGACATCAGTCAACAGCCTTACCCCAGCATTATTTCCTGAATACAGGCTCAAACATTGCTTTGCACTGAGATCAGGATTATGGTGCCCAAGTAGGCACTGTTGTAAGCTACTGACCATGGACAGAGAAAATTTTAAAAATCCACACTGATTTCCAAGTCCAAAGTAGTACAATTACAAATCTTGTCTAACTTTAATACTGAAGGCTTGTGGAGTGTTTCAAATACAAAACAGTTTTACATAAATCATTCACTCAAACCTTTACTGTTCTCCTATTATATGCCAAGTACTATACTTTCATGAGTCAGCATTGGTTAAATAATAATCTTAATACTACTAGATTTCTCTGCAAAATTTAGCACTGTGGCTCACATCTTTACTAATTCCTCTTCCACGGTCCTCATTTCATTAAACCCACAAGGAGAGAGCAGCAGTATAGCAAAATCACCTGGGGGACATATTTTTCACACTGCACAGATCCCCTCCACTCCCATTTGAGAATCATTACATATGTGAACCCCTCACCATTTCTAGCTGGAGTAAGTTATTTCTCTTAAGAGTCTGGGGATGAAAAAAACAAAAGCTGGAAATCTCTGTACCAAATACTTCCTCTAGATGATGTCATCTACTCTCATGACTTCAACTATGTGCCAACTACACACTGATGACTTCAAAAATAGTATTTTAAGCCCAGACCCATATGTCCAAATGCCTAGCACACCTGTTTTCAAATGACCTACCATTGCAAACTCTACAAGTACATTATATTTTCTAATATATATTTTATAATTTATATCAAATTAAATCATAAATTATATAATTTATATTTTTCTCTCCTTTTTCTTAATAGTATTAGTATTTACTATATGATCCAAGTCATATTTATACTCCTTCTCCTTCACACTTCCCATTCTCACCCCACATAGATCAAATCTGTCACCAGGTCTTTCTCTTCTTCCTCAAGAACACATTTCAAGTGTATCTACCTACCATTTACTACATTCCGCTTGGACCTCTGCATTAGCCTCCTCACTCCTCCCTACCAGCAGCCTCTGCACTTCAAACTATTCTCCACGTGCTTCTGATTCGTACTGATTAAAGCAGGAAATCCTTAAATGCACTCCTCATAATATACAAGATGATTTCTCATAGCAAACAGACCAACTTCTTAAATATTCATATTTTAATACGTTTCAAAAAACAGAATTAACACATCAAACTGGGTGTCAAGTTAAGTTTGCTTTAAAAATAAATTTCAGTATAAAACTCACGCAATTTAAAGAAAAATTAATCTATTCAGGTAGTGTGAGATGTTTTAAAAAAGATAAAAGCAGTACATGAATCAATGACGTTGGGAAGCTTGGTACTAGAAAGTAGGTCTAAACTCCTTAATATGGTATCAGATATCTTAAACTCCTTAACATTCTCTTCATTTTTAGCTTCTCCCTCTCCTACATTTCCTGTACTCTACATGTAAGTTCTGTGTATCAGCTTTGCTGAAAAACAAAACACCCCAAATTTACTAGCTAAAACAACATTTTATTTAGTTCATAAGTCTGTGAATGGGCTGGGCAGTTAGTTCTGTATCAGCTGACACCCCAGAGAGATCAGGGGAAATCTGGGCTGACAACTGATTGCCCCTGGACTCTCCCATGTGTTTGTGATCAAATGGTGGATCAGCTGGTAACTAGATGATCTCACTCGCATGTTTAGCAGTTCAATGACTGTTGGCAAGAGCCTCAGTTCTTTTCTGGGTGACCACTCATCCTGCAGCACAGTAACCTGGGCTCACTGACAATACGGTCACAGGGTTCCAAGTGCAGAAGCCCCAGTGCATGAGTCTCTGCACTGTTTGCTAATAATCCACTGGTCAAAGCAAGTCATATGATCAACCCAGATTCAGTATGGAGAAAGAGACTCCACCCTTTAATGGATGGATCTGCAATGTCACTTTGCCAGGAGTTAGAAGCAGGAAAGGGAAATTGGTGACTGTTTTTACAATCAAACAACCCTTCCCATCCACCAAATATGCCAGGCATATTCACACACATGCTCCTGCTGTTCCCATCACTTAAAATGAACTCTCAACTTCCTCCTGTCCTTCTAGAAAATCCTTATTGCTTGTCCTTCAAGGCTCTGATCAAATATAGCATTCCCTGACACTTTCCCTCAAGGCATAATTAATTATTCCCTCATATGTTCCCATGATCCCTTGCATTGCCTCTATTATATCATTTAGTGAATTGTATTATAGTTATTTATAATGTCTTATACAGTCTTTCTCCTTAAATAGACTGTCTTTGTACCACCAGCATCTAGCACAATGTCTGGCAAAGAACAGGCATTCAATAAACGTTTAAGAAATTAAATTAATTTAAAACAAAGATTAAAGTCTCCCTGGAATATGCCTACATTAAAACAGATTTAAGGTGCAAATACAAAACTGGCCTCATGAGTTAGCAGAACTAATTAGATCTATCTCATCTATTTTTTTTTTTTTTTTTTAAGATAGAGTCTTGCTCTGTCATCCAGGCTGGAGTGCAGTGGTGCCATCTTGGTTCACTGCAACCTCTGCCTCCCGGGTTCAAGGTATTCTTGTGCCTCAGCCTCCCAAGTAGCTGGGATTACAGGCACATATCACCATGCCTGGCTACTTTTTGTATTTTTAGTAGACACGGGGTTTCACCATGTTGGCCAGGCTGGTCTCAAACTCCTGATCTCAAGTGACCCTTCCACCCTGACCTCCAAAAGTGCTGGAATTACAGGCGTCAGCCACCACACCCGGCCCACCTCATCTCATTTGAAGAGCACCAGGCAGGGCAATGCTCCGAGCCAAAAGCATTTTTTCCTGTGGGACTGGCACAAAGCCTGAACTTCCAGCATAATTTATTCAAGGTCTGAATATGTTTTGATGTAATACAAACAACATAGGTTCTGGAGTCAAAAATACTACTAGGACTCAAAACCTAACTACCTGTGTGATACTGACAATTCATTTTGTGCGTGTCTCTGCACTACTTTTTTCATCCATACAATTATCTGTGTTGCAGTAACCCATGTAAAGCAGCTAGCACAGTGCCTGCCATACACCCAACACTTATATCAAATCACGAAGTCTCCTGTTTAAAAAGCAAACGCCTCTGCCAGGGGTAACCGCAAGCCCTTTTTATTGCCATCTGAGGAGAGTGGGAAAAAGGTAAAAGGAAGAAGAGTGTCAAAGAAAAGAGAGGCAGATAAACAACTTCGCAGTTTTACTGAGAGCTGGACTTGTGGCTAGTAATTAAACAGTTACATCAGTTTTTAGAGACCCTACCAAGTAATAAAAGGCTCCCCACCTAGGGCATATAATGACCATTTCTGGTAATACAGGACTTGGGAACTGCATAATTTAGGACTCTGGGACTTGCATAATTTTTGCTGGGCATCAATATGTCCATACTTGCATAATTTTTCTGGGCATTGATATGGAATCACCATTTATAAGTATACCTAGGCAAGACTACTGAAGAGTTAGTTAAGGAAGAAACGGAGTTATTTAAATGTTACTCTGATCTTTTTCATGTATAATCCTTTGCCCTTGTCCTTCATTTAAAAGGGGCAACTGTAATTGTAGTAAACAAATTTTTTCCTCCCTACCTAAGGATACAATTTTTTTTTAATGATAAAAATTTAAAGAACACTACAAAACGCACAATTATAAACTGTAAATTATATCACTTCTAAAGGAAATGTTGCCACTGAAATCAAAATAAAATGAGTTTTAGACACACTTATATCGTTTCAAAGTAAAGCCAAGTTTTAATAAAATGTTTAATTTTCCAAAATCCAAGCAGGAACTCCTATGAGAAGTCCCTATACTTGTCCCTCCTGAGGCTGTTCTCACATCTCAGTGACAACTCTGAAACACTTCTGCACTTTGGGAGCACTAAACCAATCTACTGTTCACATCTAGCCCTGTAAATGAGACTCCACTGTTACCCATGATCTTTCACCCCAGCTACATTATAAACTTCCTGGTACCCAAGATTCTGTTTTCTGTATTTTCCTAGTCCACCTCTCCCTACCCTCAGCACCCAGATTTGTACTCAATAATTGTTAATTCATGGCTGACAAGGAAATGTATAAATAGCACTTGCTGACAGTAAATTCTTTGGTCTGTCCAAGTTCAGACCAAGACCTCTAAAGATCCTAAAGACTGAAATGACTATGGTGCCCCACATTCACATGTAAATTTAAAAAATAGTAAACTAAAAAGGACAAAATTTACATGTATGTTTTTAAATTAAAATAGTTTCTAATGGCAAAATTCTAGGTAAGTTCATCAAAGGCTGAACTCTTCTTCATTCTTTTCCCTCCCCATTGTGAGAGCATACATGTGTATGTGAAAGAGAGAGAGAAAGAGAGAGAGAGAGAGGTCGGGGGAGAGGGAGTGAGGGAGGATGAATGTGTCTGTGACTTCCAGCACTTTGTCTGCTATAGGGTACTCCAATTCTGGGTCCACTTCATAAACTATATCAAAATACTAAATATGGTTTTGGATGCTATAGAGTATAGAATGAGAAATCAAATAATTGCCTAAATCCATATGCATATTTGCTTTTCTCTTGTTAAGTATCCAAATTCTATTTCAGGTTTGTAGTAAGACAGCTTAATATAATATAAATAGAAACAATGTAATATATTGTTTCACCTGCTCTTACAATTGTATTATGGTTGTGTGTAGAAAAGGAGGTACAGCAAATGATTGTCAGCAAATCACTCATAAAAATGTGAGAAGCCCAAGTTACTTGCATTTTATTTCATTAGACACCAATATTTGATAAAAGCAACAAGCACCAAATTATATTAATATAAACCTTCCATAAATAATGTTCACAGCAGTCACAAAGTTTTAAATACAGATGCTAATTACAGTGCCAAATCAAAACTACCATATTTCAATTAAAACTATTTTCACTTGTAATGTGATTATCTTATTCATAGTAACAGATATTAATATTTCTATCAAACCTGAATGGGTTGTGCTTAGCCATAATTGTTCCAATGGATCTGTTTCCACTCTTGTATTTTAAAATGCAAGTGTGCTCCATAAGAGTTAGTTTATCCTAATCTACCCAGGTAGACTCTTGTCTTGTAATAGAAAATATTTGGATATGTAGGGAAATGGCATCAGAAAAATCAGGAAATGCTTGTGATTGTATAGGTACTTCATTTCTGATTATATAAGTATTTTTAAAACAGTAAAAATTTTAAACCCTATACTTGCATTGAAGTACAGCTAGAATGCAAATTTAGTAATAAAACTGAATAATTTAGCAGCTTGTTTTGTGATCAGGTCTGACTGGTCCTCTCTAAGACGTATCCAATTTTTTAAAATTCCCTTTGTGGCTTTGAACTAGGAATGGAGTGCATATTATGTCCATTAAATAGGAAGCCAAGGATTACTTGAACAAATAATATTATGGCTTTGTAGAATGACTAATGGTCTTTGCAACGGCCCAGACTGGTTTCATCTTTCTTAAGATTTTATCACTGATTTGTTCTTAGTCATGTGCAGTCACTAAAGGCAGCAGAGGTAACAAGTGTTTGATGTATGATACTTGAGCCACTTTTGTCAGAGCTGCATTTATTTTTATGCTATACTCATTCTTGGTACTCTTATATTTACATGGTTCTTTCACTTTATTTTTTCTTGTTTCCAGTGATGGGTCAAACAGATACAGCAATTATAATAACACTAACCTCTAAAACTCTATAAAATAACAAATATCTACTTCCTTGCAAGGGATGACTTTCCATTGCAGATTAATAAATGACCACAGAAGCAAGCATCCTAATATAAGAGTTTAACTCTTTGTTCACTGCCATATTTGCACAGCTTACAAAATATCCCTTACCTTTTAGCATATATTATCAATTTCAATTCAATCCATCCTTTACAATCTGCAGCAAGTCACAGAAGTGCTCTTCTAGTTGAAAGGAAATTTCAAGGGAGGAGGGATGTGGAAAACCACATTTAATTTATTCTATTGAAAGGGGACATTCTAAATGGTTTCTGAGCTCTTTTGCATCTTCTTACACACTGCAAATCAGCTCAGATATCTTAATCAATGGCTATAAACATATCCTTATCAGTAACATATTCATGAAAGATGGTATGTGTATGAGCTGCAAAATGTTTGGCAGAGACCCAAGAATACAAAAGAAAGAATATGGTAAAGAATTGATGGAATGTCTTTGTGTTTCAACCCTATTCATTCTGGGAATTTTCTATCATCTCTTTTTGTTCCATTTGGAAGGATAATAGACAAACCAACAGAATGTCAGGTTTCTGTGACTTGGTTTCATCTACATACAGTCACACATATTGTACAACGATCCAGGATGGAAGCATATCTGTACACACTGATGAATATAAGTACATAATATATACCTTCTTGTGTCTCTCTCTAAATTTTTCTATTCATGATATTATCTTATACAGAGTTTAGTGCTTTTCTGTTTTGACAATCTAAGCACTGTCTACACGTTGTTTCATGAAATCAAGAGTAGTCCTTGACAATTAATTTTTGCAGTCAATGGTCTTCTCAAAATGGGCAACTCCCCTTGGAACTCAGGAGCCACAACAGCAGACTGTGTGAGTGAGGGAGCGAGACAATTCATTAGCCGATTCTGCAGCAACTCAGAGTGGCGGGGGATGTCAGCCCCTGCTCTGGTGCTTCAATACTAATGAGAGTCATTGCATATTCATAACCCCAAATACAGTCAGCTTCTTGTAAAAACTTTTGTCACCCAGGCTTCATGGCAAGAGCAAAGCACTGCACTCTTCGTGTCGTGGCACTTCCGCCAAGTGAGAGTGAGAGCAAGATTGATTGTTTTGCAACGCTGCCTGACGGGGAACTAAAAGATGCTGCCCCAAGGGTTCTAAAACTGCTTAGTTTGATTGCAAAGCTCCAAATAATCAAAGAAACAAAAAGGAAGCATTGGTGGTGAATGTGTGTGTCGATACATACATATACACACATATACACCATTACATTAAAAATATATCAAAAAATACTCCAAACAAGAAATTTGGCTTATTCAGTATTCAGAGTAATTATCTGTTAGGAATGTAAAATTCTCACATCAATTCTTATTATGCTGAAAGAATGGTGTGCCCCAGTAAACTTGTTCTCATGTTGCAGAAATGCCATGGCATATCTTAATAGAAACAGATTTCTAAAACTGTCTGAAGTTTCCCGTCATTATCAATACCAAAGCTTAGTGAACTGAACCTGTCAGTTCTGCCAAATCTAGACCTACCTGGAATCCAATTTCTCAGGCACCTTTTTGTGTTGTCACTGTCTCCCTTGCTTTATCATCATCATCATCATCATCATCATTATGATGAGTGTCCAGAAACGAGCCATCCGGTGTGCCTGCCAGGAAATCCTAAGGGGCCAGCACTATACCATTTGACCCGAAAATACCTCTGTTTGGGGTAGCTACCAGCATCCCCTGGAGTCAGAGAAGGGAAATGTATGTTTCAGCACCCACTTTGAAAAAGCCTTGAGCATTTTTTCACTCGTAATGATGTCTTCAGCTGGAATGCCAGCACAGTTACACATTTTTCTGACAGGCATACAGGCTATAAACTACCCATAAAAATTAAATAAAACAGGACAGTGAAAGAAAACTTTCTAAATTTGATCACACTTGAGTTGTTAAAAGTTATTTTCAGATGCATAATGTGTATAAATATCTGCATAGCTAAAGACAAATCAGGACTACTGAGATGATGGTGGGGGGAGATGATGAGGTGTTGTGGGGGATGGGTCTCACCAAACTGTTTTATATCTTAGTCACAGACACAAGCTTTGAAAATAGACGGATTTGTGTTTATGATTGATTGAGGTAACTGATTATCCACAGATATTTTAAGTGTTGAGACATTAAATTGTCAGCTCTATCAGTTTGATTGCAGTAAAACATGAAAACATTGACTTTTGTCTAGTTAGAGAAATTTATTTTTCCCAGAATGACAATCCTTTAAGTAGATGCCAGGCAGCTTGCCAGATTTCCATGTCATACATTGAAGTTTGCAAATGCAACCAATATTTTCAAGTGTTTTTCAAGGTGCAATGAATGGTGCATAGGTCTTTTGCAAATAGTCTTGTAATAAACAGAATCCTGCAGTATGCTTCATTCTGTAAACCCAAGAAAAGTATTTACTCATTTTGAAGACGAAAAACACATTTTTCTTTGTATCAATGAAGTATATGTTACCAGTGCTCTTCACTTACTTAAAGTATCTCTCAAAAATAAAATAACCCTCTTTGGACCATCACACTGTAAATGAGTTTGATTAATATGTTTTATAAGCCTGAAATAAATGCTCATCATAACTGTCAGTAAGCTGACAGCTTTCAAAAGTCTTTGTTCCCAGAATGAGTAATTTTTCTGATCTTCTTTAAAATACCAGCCTAAAAGGAAGATGTTAAAATCAAGTAAATTCTACCAAAATTTGATTGCTGTTAAAGCAATCTTGTATTCTGAATCCCTGCATGCACTATATGCGTGTATACTACTTGACAAAATAAAAATACCACATCTTATTTATTATTATTTCTTGTTAGAACACCTGTGCTTTTCATTGGGCAGAACTGTGGTTCAGTGTTTAAGACCTAGTCCATTATAAGAATAAAAAATGTCAGATGTTTTATATATAGTCAATTGTTTTAGTAAAATTTGACTAGGAAATCATAACTAGACCTGATGATTTCAATGAAAACACCAGTCAAAAAGCAGACATGGTCATTAATTCTACTGAAACACCAACATCTCTGTATTTGCTCCATATTTTCCAAGCACTTACCATGATCATTAAAATACAGAATGTTCCAAAGACCAGGGGACACCATTGAGCCCTCCATGTCTGAATTCTGCAGACAGCAGTAGATAATACCTGGTGCTAGGAAAGGAACACATAGACGGTACCTAAGTAGTTGAGCAAGGCTACACCAACTAGAACAACAAACGCTTCTTCCTGACTCCTTTAGCCAATCACTTGTGTTCTGGAGCATTGGGTTTGGTTACCCTTCTTATCGTATCTTAGAGAGAAAAGTAACTATTTTAAATGGTCATTAAACTATCCATTCCCCTATTTCTTCATTCCAACTACTGCTGATGCTTCATAGCTGTTCCCTGGCAGAACTTCACAAAGCACCCTGCCTGTATGCTGCCTACAATTCCAGCTTCTTTTGTCAGCATTGTTTTCCTCCTTAATTTGGTACTACCTGCTCTCATACCATGCCCACAAAGGTTTAAATTACAGATTTTCTCATATCTTTTTGTGTAATTTCTATTTTTCCTAATCTTTAAGAAAGGCTCATTTTATAATAGTATATCACATTTGTCCATTAAAAGTCATTTTTCATTTTATTATTTTCCAAATAGCCAAGAAACCACAGGTTTTGTACATGCGATCACTGATACATTGTGAGCATTACTGCTCTTCTTGTTCATTTTGATATATGCATTATTCGACTTTTAATAAAGTATATTTTCATGCTTCACCTATGCCATGACCACCCCTTATAATTTCTGATACATTGTGGCAGTTTTGAAAACAAAGTTCCCTCATATCTTATAGAGTAATTTCCCCACTTTTGTTATATCTTATCTCTCAGTGAGATATAAAGTTTTAGTATTTAGCACACGAATTAGGTCAAAAGATAATTTATTTTCTTCTCCTTTGTTGGGTTTTTTCCTTTAAGGAAATTAGAATTCCCTTATAGTCAACCTAAAACAATCTATATGCTAATTACATGCCTATGATAATTCCATAATTCCAGTAGTTCCACATTGTTTTCTAGACCTTCAAATTATGTTCTTCTCAAAGTACTATACTGACTGGGGATTATGTTGTTAACTCTAAGAAACAAAGAAATGATACCTGGCTCAGGCAGGGTTCCTCTCTTTTGATGTAATGAATGCTATCTCCAAGTACAGTCACACATTGCTTAACAACAGGGATATGTTCTGAGAAATGCATCGTTAGGCAATTTCATCATTATGTGAACATCATAGGATGGACTTATACAAACCTATGACATTATGTAGCGCATGACTGTATATAGATGGTACCGACTCAGTACAAGTGTTAAAGTGGCCTGAAGTAGGATGCTTTTGACATTGCTCAATGCTTTTGACTGCTTCCTTGTCTATTCTGAATCATTTTTCATCTGTCTTCTAGCTTTTAAAGGTCACTATGACCTTGTCATTTAGTGAGAGGAGCCATCCTTACTATGATTATAAACTTAAATTATGCTGATCAGAGTTTCCACATTTCACTCCTTCCTATGCCTCATTTCAGTTTCATGTATTTACTTTTACCAAAAGTAAAATTTATTGCCGCTACTTAAAAATCTTCCTAATGACCTACACGCAGACTCCCTCACAATTCCCAGAGCCCTCAGGCCAAGTATAGACTTTGCCTTATTTTCTTCCATATGCTCTTTTTTCCCATATGCTCTTTTTTTGGTGTCTATCGATATTTACCAATAATATCTGCACGTTAGCAATATTTAAAATTAAAAGGACAAGTAGTCTCTTCTTACAGCTAATGAAATATTAGCGTGTCCTTTCTTATTACCTATAAAACTATTGGCTTTTGCCTTTTTTCATTGCTGGAAGGGATGATCAGTTTAGTGCAATGATCTTCAAATTATTTTCAGGGGTGCCCCAGGGTCCTTCTTAAAAGAAAACGGACGAAGAGGGGCACCAAACAGAAGGGGAGTTCCTGGCCCAATTCATCCAGCCCACTACCACATTTTGTTTCCAACTTTTTATTTTCAAATAATTTTAAACTTATAGAAAAGTTTCAGGCATTGTATAAAGAACTCCTGTATGTGTTTGACCCACATTGTTAACATTTTGACACAATTGCTATATCATTCTTTCTTGCCCTTCCCCTTCCCCTTCTCTTCTCTCTCTATGTATAACTTTTTTCTCTAAATTGTTTGAGAGTAAATTTCAGATACCATATTTCATTACCTGTAAGCAGTTCTGTGTGCCTTTCCCAAGAAAAAAGATACTCACTTACAGGGTCAAAGTACAATAATCAAAAACAGGAAATTTAATATTGATATAATGCTATTATCTAATGTAATATGTAGAACTTATTTTAATTTTTCCAATTGCCCCCAAAATGTGCTGTATGGGCAATTTTTGTTTTTCTGGTCCAGAATCATCCTTCCTTGTGTTTCACAACATTGACCTTTGTAAATACTACATGCAATTTCCTTTGTAAAAATCCCTCAATTTGGGCTTGTCTAATTTTTTTTATAATTAGATTTAGGTTACATAATTTTGACAGCAATATTATGTAAATGATGTTGTGTTCTTCTCAGTGAATCACATCAGGAAGTATGTGATGTTGGTTTGTCCAATTATTGGCAATGTTAACTCTGATTACTTAAGTTGTTAAGGTGGTATCTACCTGGTTAGTCCACTATAAAGTTCTTTGTAATTAAAACCTATTTTATGCTTTGTAATTAAAAAGTAATCTACAGATAGATGCTTTTTAGAACCTTGTAAATATGCTGGTCTTCATCAGATTCTCATCCACTGGTTTAGCATCCACTGATAATCTGTTTAATGGTTATAGTGGTTGCAAAATGGTGATTTTCTAACATTATCATTCCTCCTACATTTATCAGTTAGTATCCTACTCCCTTATTTGTTTAAGTGTGAATTCATTATTTTTTTATTTTTATTTTATGGATTGAAATCTACTATTCTCATTATTTTGAAACTCAAATTGTCTGAGTTTGGCCAGTGAGAAGCCCTTGGATCTGACTCCCATGGTTTTCTGACATGTCCCATCATAACTGGAGCTGTACTATCACTTTATTTGTTTTCTGATTTATTTCCAAGCAATGATTTTTAAGGTTTAAAATAGATTGTTCCACTATAACACTTTTCCCCCTATTTGCCTCATTTCAAGTCAAGTTTGTATAAATAGTACCTAGAAAATAGAGAAGACAATAAATGATAGTAGCCCCTTTGTTTCTATGACTACTCGGTCACCATACTGTTCCTGCAAACTACTGGGTATGCTCCTGCAGTAGGGCTTGGCACCCACCATATCCTCTACCTAGAATGCCCCTCCTGATGCCCCATCAGGGCTCACTCCCCCATTTCCTTCAAGTCATAGTACTATCATCCTCTTCTCAGGGAGGCCTTCTCTGACTACTTCATTATAGTAAAGCTCCTTTGATGATAACCCCTTCATTCCCAAGGTTTCATTCTAAAGTAAGACAATTGGTTTAACCGATCAATGGTTAAGTCACAAACATGGCATTAGCCCTTGTTGGATTATTTTACCATAGTGGATTGACAAACTCCATAAAATGCCTAATGGCATACACATAGTCCTTCTGGGTCATGAAAACAAAGTAGATGCTACCCACCCTACTGCTTCTGTCTTCCTTATTCAATACTATTCCCCATAGCACATCCAATTCTGTATCACTTTGTTATAGAATTAATCTAATGTTTAAAGCTGTTAGTATCAATAAATATGAAATCAAATGAAAGCATTAACGAACAAGGATAAAGTAGAACTATTTGTCTTTTCCTCTGAAACATTCTCTAAAAGAAAATCTGTTTAAATTGTAACATTCACCATTTGCTTTTCCAAAGTGTTTTAAAAAACAAACAGAAAACCCTCAACAAACAATCACAGATAATAATCAACATCAAAGGGATACCCACAGCCTTTATGACTAGTCAAGTGCTTTAACTCAGTCATTCAGCACAGAAACTCACTTTTCCCTGAGAACATTCCCTCAACATACAATTCAAAGTGACTGCATTTCATCAATTAGGATTAAAGGTATCCTCACTAAAGTGCATAGCAAGTTCCATGACTCACTGAGTTTACCCAAAGCAAACTCAGTAAGTTATTACCATGTATTGCCAGTGTCTTAGTAGGTCTTCTTAAGTTTCTCAAATGACTTACCTAGTCTTTTTCTAAAACCACTAACATATTTCAGACATTCAAAAGTATATTATTTCCAACTGCTGTATTGAGGGCACATAGGATGGCTGACTTTTCCCCTCAATGTCTGTTTTTCATTAAATTACTTAACAGAAATCTTTTAGGTTTTTGAGACGTTTCATGCTTCTGTATTGTAAAGCCAATACATTTGTCAACATAGTAAATAAGTAAATGTTCACAAGCCACAAAATGATGAGGAACCTCACTGTATAAAATAATGGAACAAATTCTACCAACATGTAATGTATTCCCAAGGGTAAAGGATGAACATTAAATATACTTTAAATCCCCTGGTTACCTGGTCCACTTAGTGAAATTCTGGAGTGGTTTACACTCAAGGACCTAATGATACAACCTACAGGCCTAATTTACCTTCCAAGATGCCTGTTTTAGACACAGTAATATCTAGCTGATTTTAAGTGAAACTCATGATCTCCAAAAAAAAAATTAAATACCATGTAAATTCACTGGCCATTTGTTTCTTCATTATAATGTTAGCTATTCTCGGTATTCAACTGTTTAAGATAAAAAGCATACCACAGTATTTAGTCCTCTAACACACAAAGAAAAACTATATTCATCATACATGATAAAATATAACTTCTTGTTCTTGAGGTCTAGAACTGCACTGTCCAATATAGTGGTCGATAGCTACACATAGCTATTGAGCTCTTGGAATCTATCAAGTCCAAATTGAGATAAGCTGTAAATGTAAGATACACACTGGATTTCAAAGATTTAGCATGAAAAAAATGTAAAATATCTGACTAATAATTTCATGTTGATTACATGTTGAAACAGTATTTTGATAAACTGGGTTTAAAAGTATATTATAAAAATTAATTTCATTGCTTCTTTTAAGGTTTTTTAATGTGGCTACTAGAAATTTTTAAATTATGTATATGGCTCATATTTGAGGCTTGCACTTATCTTATTTCTACTGAAGAGGGCTGGTCTAGACTAAAAGCAGGCAAAAGTTACAGTTATAAGGCCAGTTCCATAGTGTGTTATAAACATACTGCCACCACACAACTCTCTCATTTTCTGAGATTGTTAGCAGATCATCAAACCTCATAAGCAGCAGAGGACTAAGCCTAGGTGAATTCAGTTTGTGATGGATAAAATTATAAATCTTACACATATTAAGATGCTATCATGATGTTTAATTAGGCAACACAGTAACTACCTATTGTAACTATCTTACAAGCAACTATCATGTTATTAACATATCCAAAGTTTATATATTTTATTGTTTTATTATCTCATTTCTATAAACACTATACCAAATATCCTTAAAAACAGATTATTATCTACTGAATATCTTTATTTAGATATCGTGGGCATTTCAAATTCATTATGTCCAAAACGGAAAGCATTCTCTTACTGTTGAGAGGTAATTGTCCATGGTGTTTTTATTTGTCTCTGAGTAAAGACAGGATATGCTTCTGGGTTAGAGAGTACATTTGTTTCCTGGCCAGCATAACAAAGATAGTGTCATCCTCCAGGATAATGATTTTGGGCAAGTTTGCAAGTAGCCTCTTATAAGATTGGGAGGACACAGGTCCACTGTGTATACAGCATCTATCTGGGCCTCACTCTGTATCATGGGACTTGGGGAATTCATAAAAGCATGAAGATCATGCTGCCTTTTTGCTTTGAGTAATAAACTGTCTAAATCTATCTAGGCTCATTGCTTCCTTCTCAACGGAATCTACAGAAGTGTGATGAGCCAGCCTAGCAGCTGACTGCTGCTTGAAACTGCTTGACACTCACTTTCCTTTTTACTTTCTCAATCTTTATACAAGCATCACTATGTACCCACTGCCCAAGTCAGAAACCTGACCATCAATCTTGACTCCTGCCTCTCATTCACCAGGCCCCCCATATCCAGTCAATTGCCAAGTCCTAGTCATTCTATCCTCTTAATTTCTCTCAAACTATCTATTTATCTCCATTCCCACTACTTTAACCCTAGTTCAGGTCATTATCCTCTCTTACGTATATGCTTAATTTGTGCCACTACACCAGTGTTACCCCATTTCACTCTATTCTCCATACTGCAGCTGGAATGATCTGATTTTTCATTTCTTTGACCTCAGGATAAAGTCCAAGCTTCTTAGGATGACAAAGTATTTCAAAACCAGGACTTACATAGCATGTTTCTTGATATTCCATTTGTGACTGTTTCACCTGAGGGGGAAAGAGGGTGGAAGAGAAGGAGAAAACAAGAGATTAGTACCACTTCTAACATAAAAGACTTGGGAGCAAAGGATAAACTGGGTGCTATAGCCTAGAAGGAGCACTTTAAGAGAGCTGAACCTTAGTGGAACTGCCAGAGTTCCTTTCTTCCTTATTCATATAAAGATTTGACGGTTACTATGTAAGGTAATGAATATGTAAACTACCTTGATTGTAATAATCATTCCACAATGTAAACATATATCAAAGCATGTTCTATATCTTAAATATATACAATTTTTATTCGTCAATTATACCTCAGTAAAGCAGGGAAAAAAGATTTGAATCCAACTAAACTCAATGACTTCCTCTGTTAGAACTGGTAACCAAAAATTGACCCAACATAGCCAAGAAGGACCATTATCACTTTACTCACTGCCAGCCACATTTATTCTGATGAAGAGAATGTGCCATCTGTAAGCAATATTACTTTCTTGTTATTAGATTTTTGAATGCACCATTAAGGCCACATCTTTTCCTTTTAGTTCATGGCACCCAATATAAAGGCTTTTCTTTTAAAGTGCCTGATGTTAAAAAATGCTGAAATCAGTTGAATCATGTAGATGGAATGCGGAAAGTTTAGACCAAGCCTCCATCCTCATCTCTCATTCATGTTGTTTCCTCTGCCTTGAACAGATTTTCCTGGTTTTTTGTCTGATTAAGCCCCTCTTCTTCATTACTTAGCTTAAATTTTATCTCCTCCAGGAAGCCTTTCCTGACTCTCAAAGTAGCATTAGATGTCTTTCCTATGAATTCTCTTAGCATTTAATACTTGCTCATGTTTCAGCATTTAGTACACAGTATTTAAATGATGTATTTGCTTATCTCCCCTAATAGACAGTAACCTCCTTGAAGACAATGTGTCTAACTCATTATTTTATCCCCAGTGGTAGCATCATGCCTAGCACATAACAGATACCCAATCAGTAATTATTCATTATAAATAGATAAATAATTAGATAAGTCTTTGGAAAATAAAAAAGGGAATTAAAATCTTTTTAAAAACGAGGAGAAGGAGGGGTTAGGCTGTGGAGTTTTTCTTATCTCTACCCACATTCTCTCTCTCTCCCCCTCAATCCTCTCTTTCTCTCTCTCTCTCTCTCTCTCTCTCTCTCTCTCTCTCACACACACACACAGAGACACACACACACACACAAACAGAAAGTTAATTTTATGTATCAACTTGACTGGGCCATGGGGACCCAGATGCTTGATTAAACATTGTTTCTGGGTATGTCTCCAAGGATATTTCTAGATGAGATTAACTTTTGAATAAGTAGAGTAAAGCAGATTGGTCTCTCCAACGTGGATGGGCATCGGGCAACCTATTGAAGGCCTGAATAGAATAAAAAGATTGAGTAAGAAGGAATTCTTTCTCTCTACCTATCTTCAAACGAGGACACTGGTTTCTCCTGCCTTCAGACTTGTACACAGACTGGAACTTAAACTATTGGCTTTCTTGGTTCTCAGGCCTTCAGACTCCAGTTGGAACTATACACTGAGCTCTCCCTGGTCTGGCTTTCTCAGACTCCACAATCAAGTAAGCCAGTTTTTTATAGTAAATCTCTCACTCACTTACTCTGTCTCTGAAGATATCTACATCTTACTGGTTCTGTTTTTCTGAAGCACTTTAGTACACACACTGACATGCCATGTCACTGATGTTTTCCCTAATTTCAACAGCCTTCCCAGTCCTAGGTTTGCAGTTTCAGCACTACCAACTTTCATGAGGAAAGATAAATGCATTTTTTCAAATATATTCTTTTTCTCTCAACTAAGCCTCCAAAGATTTCTTACAACTATAAAGGCCTGGATGCAGCAACAATGTAGATCATCTTACTTTACTCCAAAAACCCAATAGGAAAATGTGTTTTAAACTTCTAAAATAAATACTAGACCATTTATTAACTATATGCTCCTAATATTCACTTTCTTACATTTTTACTAAACCTAATTATTTCTTCACCTTTGAAAACTTTAGAGATAACATAAAATATTGTGATTATAGAAATCCATCATCTTGTTCATGTAAGGCAGAGTTGAATGTAATCTCTACATAAATCAAGTTTGTTTCCAGGCCAGGAGAACTAAGGTGGTGAAGATAGGATGACAGCTAAACTGGACAACTTGTTCATTAACTTTTTAGCATCAAAGAACTTTATCTTTGCCCACTATCCTTTCCAAAGACCTGAGGTACTGCTGGCCTCTGGTTCTGAATTTTGGAAAGAGAAGCTTAGAATGCTGCTAAAGTTTCTTCCAAGATCTTATCTAGAGTGACCAACATAGCCCCTCAAAAAAGTCAAAGAAGAGAGACCTTCAAGTCAACTGCTGTACTATGGCAAGTTTCAAGGATGTCTGTTATCTCAACAGTGCAAACAGCTAAGGGAAATTCTGGTGGCCTGGAGGCCATTAGTCAGTTGCCCCCAATTTAAATTGTCAGTTTTCTTTGGCCACTATCTGAAATGAAACAATTTCAGAAAGATCAAGGTAGCTCAACTTTATAACCAAGTTCTTTTAGAATATAGAAAGCAAAGTTCTTAAACTTGTAGAGCATTCTACTTCAGAGTAAGAATAAGTATAACATCACTGTGGAGATAAATCTATGTTCTAGGAATGACTCTGCAACTTTAAAGTCTCCTGAGCCTTGGCTTCCTCTTTGTCATAAGAATTAGCTAAAAAACAATCCAATGTGCCTATAACATTACATAACATGTGTAGATGCTCAACAGAAGGCAGTTATAATTTTGAAAGATTTCCATAAGAAGTTAGCAAAGTACAGCCTGCAGGGCGAACTACCCAATGCCTGTTTTTGTAAATAAAGTTTCATTGGAATACAGCACACTTATGACTACTTCTGGGCTACAATGACAGAGGTGAGTAGTAGAAAGAGTAATGACAGTTGTAACAGAGACCGTATGACCAACAAAACATAAAATATTTACTATCTGGCCCTTTATAGAAAATGCTTGCTAGCTGGGGGTGCCAAGATGGCCGAATAGGAACAGCTCCAATCTACAGCTCCCGGTATGAGCAACGCAGACAGGTGATTTCTGCATTTCCAACTGAGGTACCGGCTTCATCTCACTGGGGCTTGTCAGACAGTGGGTGCAGCCCACGGAGTGTGAGCTGAAGCAGGGCGGGGCATTGTCTCACCTGGGAAGCGCAAGGGGTCCAGGAATTCCCTTTCCTAGCCAAGGGAAGCCATGACAGATGGTACCTGGAAAATCGGGATACCTCCACCCTAATATGCGCATTTCCAATGGTCTTAGCAAACAGCACACCAGGAGATTATATCCTGTGCCTAGCTTGGATGGTCCCATGCCCACAGAGCCTCGTTCACTGCCAGCACAGCAATCTGAGATTGAACTGCAAGGCGGTAGCAAGGCTGGGGGAGGGGTGTCCACCATTGTTGAGGCTTGAGTAGATAAACAAAGCGGCTGGGAAGCTCAAACTGGGTAGAGCCCACCGCAGCTCAAGGAGGCCTGCCTGCCTCTGTAGACTCCACTTCTCAGGGTAGGGCATATCTGAACAAAAGGCAGCAGAAATTTCTGCAGACTTAAACGTCCCTGTCTGACAGCTTTGAAGAGAGTAGTGGTTCTCCCAGCATGGAGTTTGAGATCTGAGAATGGACAGACTGCCTCCTCAAGTAGGTCCCTGACTCCCGAGTAGCCTAACTGGGAGACACCTCCAAGTAGGGGCCAGCTGACACTTCATACAGCCAGATGCCCCTCTGAGACAAAGTTTCCAGAGGAAGCATCAGGCAGCAACATTTACAGTTCTGCAATATTTGCTCTTCTGCAGCCTCTGCTGGTGATACCTAGGAAAATGGGGTCTGGAGTGGACCTCCAGGAAACTCCAACAGACCTGCAGCTGAGGGTCCTGACTGTTAGAAGGAAAACTAACAAACAGAAAGGACATCCACACCAAAACCCCATCTGTACATCACTGTCATCAAAGACCAAAGGTAGATAAAACCACAAAGATGGCGAGAAACCAGAGCAGAGGAGCTGAAAATTCTAAAAATCAAAGCACCTCTTCTCCTCCAAAGGAATGCAGCTCCTCGTCAGCAACGGAACAAAGCTGGATGGAGAATGACTTTGAGGAGTTGAGAGAGGAAGGCTTCAGAAGATCAGTAATAATAAACTTCTCTGAGCTAAAGTAGGATGTTCGAACCCATTGCAAAGAAGCAAAAAACCTGGAGAAAAGATTAGACAGATGGCTATAAACAGTGTAGAGAAGACCCTAAATGACCTGATGGAGCTAAAAAGCATGGCATGAGAACTATATGACAAATGCACAAGCTTCAGTAACCGACTCGATCAACTGGAAGAAAGAGTATCAGTGATTGAAGATCAAGTGAATGAAATGAAGCAAGAAGAGAAGTTCAGAGGAAAAAGAGTAAAAAGAAATGAACAAAGCCTCCAAGAAATATAGGACTAAGTGAAGAGACCAAATTTATGTCCGACTGGTATACCTGAAAGTGATGGGGAGAATGGAACCAAGTTGGAAAACATTCTTCAGGATATTATACAGGGGAACTTCCTCAACCTAGCAAGACAGGCCAACATTCAAATTCAGGAAATACAGAGAACACCACAAAGATACTCCTTGAGAAGAGCAACTCCAAGACACATAATTGTCAGATTCACCAAAGTTGAAATGAAGGAAAAAATATTAAGGGTAGCCAGAGAGAAAGGTCGGGTTACACACAAAGGGAAGCCCATCAGACTAACAGCAGATCTCTCAGCAGAAACTCTACAAGCCAGAAGAGAGTGGGGACCAATATTCAACATTCTTAAAGAAAAGAATTTTCAACCCAGAATTTCATATCCAGCCAAACTAAGTTTCATAACTGAAAGGGAAATAAAATCCTTTACAGACAAGCAAATGCTGAGAGATTACATCACCACCAGGCCTGCTTTACAAGAGCTCCTGAAGGAAGCACTGTTTAA